GGCAGCCCCCCCACCCTCCCCCGTTTGCAGATGCACTGCCCTGATATGGGTTCCATGAGAATTCCCCCTCAAGAAGGTTCCTGAGGTGTGCAATAGGTCAAACCGGAAGTGGACCGGAAATACTTCTGGTCCATTTCCAGGTTCATTGCCGAGCATATGGGGGGCCTCCCATACGCTCCTGTGGGACGCTCCACCTGCCCCAGCATCGCAGCATTCATGAGCTGTGCCTCGTACCTTGAGGTATGTAGAAAAAACATTTAAAGCTGTGTCTATGGCCAAATCACTGATTCTCTGAATCAGCATCAAATCTCCAGATTCGGATTCGGCCAAATCAAATTGGGACAGTGATCTGAATCAACTAATCACTGTCCCCGATTCGGGTCGAATCTGAATCCAAATCAAATAGGGCCCATTTCATACACCCCTAGTGTGCAATAATCAAATAGGCATCCTCCTCTATAAGATATCATTATCTGTAACTACGTTTGGTCACAGCAGTATTTTTGGACCCTTGGAGTGTGACAAGGGGCTAGGGTGTCTGTTTGCTCACAATGTGGACTGCGGTAAAAAATTTTGTCTGCTCATACCCTGTGAGCGAGAGAATGCTAGAATAATCACACCTACAGTCTGATTTAGTAAATAGCAAGTCTTATGTTATTATATTTTGCAGAACAAAATACTTTGGATAAATTATGAAAAGGTTTCTTAGAACAAAAGATGAAATGTAACTATTAGTAGTTGTGTGTATGTTTCAGTCCAAGTTTCCATAAGAAGAGCCAATGAAAAAGGTGTATATAACATGAATGAGGAAGATTTCTATGATCATAATCACTTCCTTTGTAAATATTGTTGGTAATTTTTTAAAACCACTATATCTCAGCTTATCATCCAGCATCCCATTTATGATGTAACATTTCCTACTCAAGATGTACATTACACAATTGGAATCATTGCTGTTTTCTAATGGCCAAGTAACACTTCATAAATAAGTCAGCTGGCTCTTGGTAGGCTTCATTGCTGAAATAACTATTTTTCTGTGGCTTAAGGTCATTTTGGATCTGGAGTTGCCTCCTACTTCATCTTTCTGAGATGGCTATTTGGAATCAACATTGTGCTTACCATAATGACAGGAGCATTTGTAGTCTTACCAGAGGTAACCACATATCTAATATCTTTAGAAAGCTCTTATTGTAGGATTTCCCTTCCTGAATTAAAATCATGTTATGCTCAAAGGTATAGATGGCTTTTTAATGTACAGTTTAAGAAAAATATTTACAATACATTGCACTATTAGGTATTTTTCTGCCACTTATGTATCAGATGTCATTGTACCAAGAGACTAAATGCTGATGTGTTTATTTGGAGGGAGAGCAGGGGAAGGAAGAGGAGGAGCAGAGGGTGGCAAATTAAAAAAAATGGCTCCTTTAATCCCTGTAACTAAGTCCCACTCTGATATTTGGAGCATTAGAGCCTGGTATTCAGGCTGTCTGGGCACACAGAACTCTCATTGATACTTCAGATGGCACAAAGACATTTATTCCTTAGGTGGTGTTATAAAATTTAAACAATCAGAATGTGTCAGGTGGAAAATACAAAAAAGAACAGTATTCTCCAATTTTTTTCTGGGGCTTCTTTTAGCAGAAATACCCCAGGATGAAGGAGTGGATAGTTTAGATCTATCCAAATGTTCATGGTTTGGGTAAATAACCTGTATGGCTGATACATTTTACCCAGCTCTGGCATGTGTCCATAGATCTGGACTAAAAAACTAAACTCTACAGGTTAAATTCTACCCTCAGAGATACAAGCTCCAACAACCAAGGGCTTTGCTAGATGCTGGATGGAGGATTTCCCCCTGCATTTCTAGTTTTACAAAATTGAGAGGAGCAGGATTAATGATGCTACCACTCTGGCACTCGGTTCTTTGGAGCTTCTTGGGCTCTGCTGTACAGATAGTGTGATAAAATTGCCTTTGTTTCATACGCTTTTTAAAGATGTTACCTTTCTTACCAGCTCCTGGCGGGAGTGCCCTTCGGGAACAAAACCATTCCCACGGAGCAGTTGGCAACAGCACAGGACCTGGACACCATCTGGTCTCTGGGGGCAAGTCCAACAGGCACTTTGTTACTGTGTTACCGAAGTAAATTCTTCAAGCCGGATGTTGGTGCCGATTCCTCACTGTATGCTGTCTTTACAGGGTTACCTCCAGTACTCTGTCTTGTTTTATGGCTACTATGGCCGGGACAGGAAGATCGGGAAAGCTGGGTATCGGTTGCCCCTGGCCTATTTCCTGGTTGGAATGGCAGTGTTTGCGTATAGCTTCATCATTCTCTTAAAGAAGTAATGTTCCCCTTTTATTGGTATTTACTTAGAGCTATGTATTCAACCCAGCTGAACTGGTCTATTATTTCCTTTCTCCCTGTGTTTAATTCTGTAGTTCCTGTAGTTTATTCCTACCTCTGGTATCAGAGGAGCAGATTAGTCTTAGAGATTGAGGCCAGAACGGGGATTCAGATCTCCTGAGCTTTGATTCCAGCTTGTTCTTGAACTTACCATCCTTTACCTCTCTCTTCAGTTTCCCACTCTATAAAATGAGGGGAACAGCTCACAGCCCCAGAGGGTGGGGTGAAGATTATGTATTCATGTTTGTATTCATGATTATGTATTTATTGGGGGTGTGCGAAATGGGCCATATTTGATTTGGATTCAGATTCGGCCCGAATCAGGGACAGTGATTTGATTAATTGATTTGGATCACTGTCCCAATTCGATTCAGCCAAATACAAATCTGAAGATTTGATGCTGATTTGGAGAATCAGCAATTCAGGCATAGACACAGCTTTAAATATTTTTTCCACATACCTCAAAGTACCAGGCATGACTCATGAACACTGTGATGCTGGCAAAGATGGAGCATCCCACAGGAGCATGCCCCCCCGCCCCACGTACTCAGCGGTGAATCTGGAAGTGGACCAGAAATATTTCGGGTCCAATTCTGGGTCTGCTGCTCACCATGCGGGAAACACCACCCCCATCCATGCCACCCCTGGCTCAGCAATTGGCTGTGGGGGGTCCTGGGTGCCCCCCCCCAGACCCAGAAGGCACCAATCACCAAGCCGGTGGGCAGGGGAGGTTCCCCGGCGGACCAGAAAGTGGGCCCGGGAGTGCTTCTGCTCCCCTTCTGGGTCTGCTGCTGAGCATGCTGGGGAGCCCCCCATGCTCCCACCATGCTCTGTCCACCCCAGCATTTCAGCATTCACAAGCCCCTGCTACCTAGAGGTATGTAGAAAAAGCATTTAAAGCTATGTCTATGTCCAAATTGCCAGATCTTTCCGAATCTCTCCGAATCAATTCAGAGGGTTTTGATTCCATTCAGAGAGACTAAAGGGTCTCCTGATTTGATTCAAATTCAGAGATTCAGCTGCTGAATCGGGCCGAATCTCTGCCAAATTGAATCAGCAACCAAAGCTTCGCACAGCCCTAGTATTTATGTTTATTACATTATTGTGTATTCATGTCCAGTGCAGTGGACATATAGGGTTGGATTTTATTTGCCTTCCAGTTCTGTAGCACTAGTATTCCACCGGCATGTCAGTAACAGGACCACGTCCATCCTTTTCAAAATGAGGATACGAACGTTGCCACAAACATAACATTCTCCACATTGCTGGAACTGATACAAGGCATCACATTCAAATGCAGTTTTATTTCCTTTGCTGTTTAGGAGGCAAGACTGGAAATTGCATAGGGGACAGAGGGAGCCCGCCAATGCTGACCATAAATCTAGGAATGTGCAGCAATTAGTGTGGAGCAAGGTCACTTTATCCTTTCTCCATTCAGTTTATTTTCCCTTCAGGATAACTGTTTGTCTGATACATTGCAGCGCAGGCTGATTATTAGTGTGACCCATAATAGCTGTGTCAGCTTCAAAATTGATTACACCCTTTTCATTTGTTTTCATTTAATCTGTTATTTTAGATCAATGGTGGCCAGTATTTTTGTCATTGGTCACCATAGTGATTACACTTTTGGATTCTAGACAAGGTCTGCTTTTCTTTGCCTACAAAAGTACTCCATTAAGCATTGACTCTGCCCAGTTGTTATAGTTTTTCTAATATTTTTCTTAAGTGAAACATATATGCCTCTTGATTAAGCCATGCCAGATGTATATAGTCACGTGCTATACAACACATCTATGAAATAATACCTGATTGTATTTCAATAGCTTGCATTGATGGGGCATAGGTAACGTGCACAGATGTGGGCCAGTCATCCAGACAGAAAGAGTAAACTAAAGGAAGCATTCAAATTCCTTATCACTTCACTGAGACTCGAACCAGCTATTTGCTAGACAGAAACATTGACACAGGATCATCACAGATTTACCGGACTGACTTATGATCATAAAAGCAATGATAACGAGGTAGTTTTCCTCTAGGAAAACGAAAGGTGACATAGAGACTTATGACACCATTTACTAGTGAAAGGGGTAGGAAGGTCAGTCCTTAAGCCTGACGTGCCATATTCATCACATATAAAGATTGCACATTTCTATACAGTGCCTCAGCTGTGACCTGGAAGGTGCAGTGATAAAATTTCACTCCTGCCACTTACTCTGTTCTTATCCCCTCTACTTCAGACTCCCTGCAATTATACCAATTACTATGAGTTTTGATGGTATTTTGTGCTGTGGGCATGTACAGACTGTGAACTGAGACCACAAATGTATTTTACGTAAAGCATTTATAAAAATGAACGTTCCTTATTCTTTTTCCAGAATGGCAAAAAACTCCAGAATGAGTCTGGCAAGTGCCTCTGATGAAAATTACACGTTTTGCTGGAGAGTGTTCTGTGCTTGGGACTATTTAATAGGAAATCCTGAGGCTGCAGAAAGCAAAGCAGCTGCCATAGTTAATAGCATCAGGGTAAGTAGCGAGTCCCTGAAAAAAAAAGCTGTTTTAGGGCCATTGATTTGTGAAATAGCTGATTTGGTTTTTTCACCTGTTCTATTACATGTTGTTTCTTTTCTGTTTTGTTACATATTAATTTCTGGTACTAGTTGTGCCTAGTAAGGCGGGTAACATACAGTTTCATATAGCAGTGTTATGCACTTGTTCTATGTGCCCACTTTTTAACATCAGTTATGGTTAAAGGGTATGATATATAAATTAGAGGCTCACGTCACCTTCTCAAGTAACAGTTTTTCTTTCCATTTCATTTACTGTAGTTGTTGAGTGACACCATCATATTTTTATCATGCACCGTTTAATCCCCACTATTGCACACGTGACTTGTATTTAGAAACCTGGAGATAAATTCATCCCTGGTTTAACACAGGGCCTAGAGCCAGGATCCCTTTAACATCCCAATAATCTGCATTCATTTTATGCTTGTGTTCACCAGAAATTGCCCAGACACATTTTACAAGGGTATTGACAATAAAAGCAAAGTTAAATATAAGCCTCTTCTGCTTAGATTTTAAAAACAAATGCATCTCGTTTATTGTCCATAAGTAAGTGGTTCCATAAACTTGGTGTGTGTCATCACTAAAAGCCCTTGGTCCAAATGACTCCATATTAGGTCTAGAACAAACCAATAAATTGTGTGATTTTTATCTCAAATGATCACTAGGTGTGACTGATGGTGATGGTGTTATTTTATATTACCCACATGCTTATGCTGCAAGCTTCACAGAAAACACACATTGTGTCCTTCCCCTGAACAGTTTCTAATCCAAGGCTTCTATCGTATCTTAAGATCAGCTAGCGTGGGCCCCTGGGTACTGTTCTGTTGAAGCAAGTGAGACAGTGCACAAGTCCACATTAACATGGAGTTGGGACCTAAACCATGAACATTTCAGGCAAGGGAAAATGAATATATGCCAAGAAAAAGAGCGGGCAAGCATTTATTAATATGTCCTTGCTTTCCAAAAATGCTCTTCTCTACATAAACCCACAGCACACAGTATTATCGATAAGTAATGGAGCAGCGCAGAAGAGAGTATCTGTCTGCTTTACTTAATGAGAGAAGCAGAATTTCTTATCTTTTATTGGACACAATACACACATACATGCATGCATGGTTTTTTTCCTGAGCCTCTACTTGTACAACATTTCTTAGACAGGTGCAGTATATGCGTGCTTTTAACTGTATAGGTTTTTTATAAAAAATATGTTTTGTTGTTGTATGCCACTACAACATTGTTCCTTGTTTCTTTCAAGGAAGCTATTTTGGAAGAGCAGGAAAAGAAGAAAAGCAAAAACCTGTATGTATAGCTTACTGGGGATATGTTCCAAACCACTGGTCAAATGTAGTTAACAGTGCCAGTTTGCTTGTCTTACATCCTTTATGGCTGTGTCCCCACGTGCAGGCACATGTGGTTTGTGGTGCCAGAAATAACATGCGTGGAATGCTAAAATATGCCCCCACTGCAAATTTGCAGCACAGGGGCAACATTTGGTACTAGGATTTCCCAGTTGCAAAAAAAAAAAACCCCAGGGGGAAGAAGCGGAGCAGAGCATGGAAAAATAGCATGTGCCAGAAAAAATGGAGGCTTGGTCCTCCGATGAGACACTCTGGCTGCTGACTAGAACGTCTCTACTGCTCCCTTTGTGCCTTTGGTGCTCCAGCACACTGGGAACTGGGAAGAGCCGGGCACGCGCAGTTTGCCCAAAGTGGGACAGTGTGTCCCACAACAAAGCGCATGTGCAGGGGCATGCACTGCGGCATAAAGTGGTGGCACAAATTTGTGCTGCTACTGTTTGTGCCACTGCAAGCACATGCAGCCTACACATTCAGAGAAGGCTGGTTCTGCAAGACAAACCATCTGTAATTTTTACCATGTGACTTTTTTCCAGGGCAGTGACCATAAGCTTAAGGATTATTGCAAACATCCTTGTGCTGCTTTCCCTGGCTGGGAGTATCTACATTATTTACTTTGTGGTGGATCGATCCCAAAAGCTAGAACGTACCAAAAAGGAATTGACACTCTGGGAAAAAAATGAGGTATGGTGTGTCAACTGCCTTTTTACTCTTCTTACAAGCAGGTGGAGCGTCTGTGACTGTCCATTCAGGTTACAGTTCTGTGTTTGGCAAGGACTTCACAGTTCTTTTGGGTGATGACAAATCATTGTTGATTTGCTGATGTTCATCTGTAATATCATGCCAGATCCTTTCTGTCTGCCCCTTGGTGGTTAAAGAGAAGCCTTAGGCCTCAGTTAGCCAATCAGTGGGACTACTAATGGGAATAAAGCAAAGCACATGCAGAGCATCTATAGGATCAAAAGCTTAGAGGAGAGCCACAAAGGAAGTGTGCATCTCCCTCAGTCCATGAAGAAGGGATTCAGAAGTGCTGCTTGGACCCTCCTGATTCACTGGGGCTCTAGGAATAGGTCGGGGTATGGTGATAGATCGGGGTGGGGTTCAGAGTGGAACTACAATTTCATAGGATCCCCTGTGACATCAGCATCATCAGGAAGAGTGTCCCACTGGCCACTGTCAGAATAGGGATGCAGCAGTTTCTCAGTGCACAGGGACTTGGCTCTTACAATCCCTGGTGCCCCCATCCACCCTCCCATGCATGTGAACTAAGAAAACGTTGACCCATGCATGTTTCCCTTTAGGAGCTATGACTGGGAACTGAGATAAGGAAAAGCAGACAGATATGGAGAGACTTACACAGTAAAATTAGAGCAGGATATTGTCTTTGGGATTCTTATATGTAAAAGTCTTTCTTATAATTATAAAAATTAGAAATTCATTGTGTGTGTGTGTGTGTGTGTGTGTGTGTGTGTGTAACAGGAAATATTCCTTAGCAATCCTCCGTATAGGTTACTCTGGATCACAAATGCATATAACAACTCTTGTCTGTAGCACACATAAAAGTAGAATTTTCTGAGGCATGTGGTCAGCACTGAGTATATGCAATGTATAGGATGCCTGCCAAAGGATTTGGAAGTATCTGAACCCCTGGGCTGGGGTGGAGGATACTTGCCTGCAGCAGGGCCACATCTGGTTCTTGGATGATTTAAACTGATTTGGACCTGATCTGGCTAGTTTGACCTGGGACACAAAACATTTTCCTTAAAAAAAAAAAAAAAAAGTCTCTTCAAGGCTTCAGTCAGTGACAAAAGGATTCCACAAGTCCCTATGAAGACCTCAAAAACTGCATGAACATTGTCTTTTCCATAGGTGAGTGTTGTTGTTTCGCTAATTACTATGCTTGCACCCTCTGCATTTGAACTCGTGGCAGCACTGGAGATGTATCACCCTCGGACCACTCTTCGCTTTCAGCTTGCCAGGTATGATCAGTTTTCATACAATCAGTTTGAAAACAATGTGGAGTGTGGGGAAGGGAGCAGACGGGTGAACTGATTTTCAGGTTTTGTTTCAGTCAATATAGAATTTATATCCAATATCATCATGAAAACCATTCTTGTCATTCTCAGGGTTCTTGTTTTATATCTGGGGAACCTTTACAGTTTAATCATTGCTCTGTTGGATAAAGTGGATAGCATGAGCATTGCTGTAAGTATTCTTATGTGTTATATCAGTTGTAAAACTTGCTAACTTTAAAGATATAATTCTTGTATTTATTGTACCTTATTTAAAATCAAATATAAGCTTTGTTACAAACCAAACAGCACCTGTTGAAAATGGTGGAATTGCAATTTGAAGATGAGTAGTGATGTCTATTTACTACTCTTTGTATGTAGGAAAGTCAAAAGTATTTGGTTGCTGATAAACATAGCTGGTTGGTTCATTGGTTAATTATTTTAGCAACGTAAGCTACATTTTTAGATTAAATCATTTCAGCTCAAATCAATGTGGTGTCTACAAAACAGGGTGGCTGTTCTCATTTGTAAATGTAAAGCTAGCAACTGAGTGGCCAGCCATTTACTTTGTGTATTTAAAGTACATGTCTGAGTGTATTAAAATGGGTGCCAATGAAATATTGCAGATGTAGAATCAGAGACTGCAGCTAAAAACTTAGCTGTTAAACACATGGATTAAACTACTGTTCCATTCTTTCAGGAATTTGAAGCTAACAGCAGTGCAAGTTACTGGATACCTTCCACCACCACCTTAACCACCAAAAAACTTTTCAAAGAAAACTTATCTACAATGGTCCCTGATATAAATGGCAGTAAAAATAGCACGTTCAGCCTGGAAGACAGTCGCACTCCAAAGTATGCAACACCTGTCACACCATTTAACCAGACAGTTTCCTATGCCTATAACACTCATAATAATCCAAATCAGTGCTGGGAAACATATGTTGGTCAAGTAAGTTCTTCCGCACTCTTCACTTCTTTCCTACAAAGAAAAATAAATCAAATGAAATGTTTGGCTTCACTACTGCCAGATTAAAAATAGTCTGGTGCCATATTTGCTTCAAAAGTCTTTGTATAGCCCAGAATTTTAGTGAATAGCACAGTCCTAGAACAGGTAATTCATATTGGCTTTGACAGAAAGAGACTCGTTTTTAGCTTGGCTGAGAGAATGGTTTGCCTTTGTTATGGAAGAGCCTAACCTGTATGTTGGGTTCAAATTCCAGATGTTGCATCCAACTCCACACCCAAATGTGGGGGGCAAAATGGGAGATTGCCTCCCTCTTCTTCGGGGAGGCAATCATTGAGAACAGAGGAGAAGAGTGAATCTCCTCCTCAGAGTTGCAACACCTGCAGCCCTGGGTGATGATCGGGCAGAGACACTGCATGGGAATTTCTTGTGTGATCTTGAGAGCCCTGTTGGATACGTGAGACTTAGCTGGACCTGGAATACTTATACAAAGGATCTCACAAAAAATCCCTTGTCATCTTTTTCACTTATTTACTTAAAGATGTTAAGGGAAAACTTCAGGCCTCACATACTTGTTGTTAAGTCCCATGGCAGTTTGAGAGATCCTACCTTATCAGAGGAGGTAGCATTCATACGGGGCCAAAGGGGGCACATGGGGGTCATAGCCTGAGCACTACTGGGAGTAACAAAGAACAACGGCCATAAGTTGACTGAGAGTAGGTTCAGGCTAGATATCAGGAGACACTTCTTCGCAGCCAGGGTGGCTAGGAGCTGGAACCAACTTCCAAGGGAAGTGGTGCTTGCCCCTACCCTGGGGGTCTTCAAAAGGAGGCTAAATAATCACCTAGCTAGGGTCGTTTGACCCCAGCAGTCTTTCCTGCCACGGCAGGGGGTCAGACTTGATGATCTGCTCAGGTCCCTTCTGACGCTACCAACTATGAAACTATAGTCCTTCTGGATGACTGAAAGTGGAATAAAAATGCTCAAAGAGAAATTTGAAACAACCAAAAAAAAGTGACCAGTCCACTATGTATGTCCCAATGTGTTTTAGACTCTTAGGGCTTTGTTTATCAATGGCTCACTTTCAGTCTGGGGGCCTTCACACCTGAAATGAACGTGATGTTAGTAGGTCTCTGCATTGTTCAGCCCCTGTTTCATAGCAAGAAGTCTTTTTAAAGGTTCAAATTGTTGTTCACTAGTTTGGTTCACTTGGTTTGGCACAATTTTCCATTTAGATTTGTCTGGCAGATCCCTAGTCTGGTATTCTCTTCACACTCACTCTTGTTGAAATCATCAGGAGTTTCATGCTTTCAGAGTGAGGAGAATATGTGTCTTGTATTGTCAGTCAATTTGCAATGTCATGCTACAGATTCTTATGTCTGAAAGGCTTAGATGGCTGGTGTTCCTGTAGTGAGGTATTGGCTGACTTTTTAAAAAAAATAGTCCTGCCTTGTTTGGGGCTAGTGCATTTTTTAATTTAAGTCTGCATTTGAAATGTGTGCTTTAAACCTTTACTGTCTTTGAATCTACATAGCCATTTTTCATGCAGTTCCTAAAAAAATAAATAGATCTAACATGTCCTTTTCAGGGCACAGTGCTTTTATCATTATCTGATTACTTTCTTGGTATTAAGCAGCACTAAGCACCAATCACAAATGCATTAAAATACTCGCATTTGATAAATATAGGCATCTGAGTATCATAGAAGACATGAAAAACTCTTGATTAACAAGGTAAATTTAATACATTAAAAACCACTATGACAGCACATTATCTGATGCAGAGTTGGGCAGGGCAAGCCAAACCCCCTTTGGGTTTGTATTAAACAACCTAACTGTTGCTCTCTTTGAGACAGTAACAGATAAAGAAGATCAAAGCAGTAAAGAACTAACTGAAAAACTTGGTTCGGGTTGTTATATCAAGTCAAATGCAACAGTAACTGTGTAGAATGTCATACAATTTCTTTGCTTTGAAAGTGAGTCCCTAACTTAGCACCATCTATCTTTCAGGAAATGCTGAAGCTGTCAATTATTGACATGATTTTCACAGTGGCAAGCATTCTGTTAATAGACTTTTTCCGTGGACTTTTTGTCAGATATTTAAGTGATTGCTGGTGTTGGGATCTAGAAAGCAAATTTGTAAGTATAGGATTTTATTTCAAAAAATTAAGTGATGAAAATTGGACAGACAAATGAGTAGTGGTACCTTCTGGTAGCTTCATGATCATGACAGTGTGGCTGCCAAAAGCAGACGCTTTGTTTCACTTCCTTCCCCTTCTCCCCACAGTGCCTCAGGTAGTTGCCCTGGTCATCCTGGCCTAATTACACCACTGGGACAGACTATAACTGGCCAAAATCAAATAGAATTCCCCTGTTTTTACTTTTACTTTACTTTTGATATATTGCTTCATTTAATCTATCTTTTTGCATCTTCATATACTATATTCTGTTTTAATAGTTTTTTTAATTTGTAGGGTGTGTCATTTTATTGTATGCTTTTAGTAAAACCCATAAATTATATAATTGTGTTGTTATATATAATTTTATTGCCAATTTTATTGTATTATTTTCATGTAAAAGCTGTAAATAAAACTACAGCTACAACTGCCTCTTGTGCCTCAGATTCAATCAATAGTTTCTTTGGCAACATCCTGGCTTGAACAAGCCTAAGGTACTAAGCAGGGCAAATTTAAATTGGAGGGCACAGAGTAAACACTAAGATCAAGTGGTGTCCACAAACCCACTCTGATCTATGATCAATGACTTAAAGACTCCCACATCTTCCCCTTAATAAGGTGATGCATCAATCTCAGAGCCAAAGATGACTACGCTATGGAATTTTAGAAAATACCAAGAGTAGGTGGCTTATAACTTCCTCTCCTCCATGGCTATGGTTACATCCTGCTATCAGAAGCGGTACATATAAGCACACGGTCCTTAAAAATACAGATCATGTTGAGTAAAAGTTGGCTGAGGAGCAGCTTTTGACGTGAGATCCTCATATGCAGACTCTTCATTGATCACTTAAGAATGAAGTGGAGTAAAATTAGTTTACCTGAGTCCCTGCCTGCTAGAATGGAGGTTTGACTGTCACCTTATTGCTTGCTAAGGATTGATATTATTGTGGATATTTCAGAATATGTTCTCTCTGGTGAACAGATACAATCCAAAATTTTTAGTGGTTCTTTATAAGAAGAAAGATTTAAATCAGTTTATTCACATTCTCTTGTCTTTCTTGTAGCCAGAATATGGAGAATTCAAAATTGCTGAGAACGTGCTACATTTGGTATACAATCAAGGAATGATTTGGTATGAAATATTTATATTTTTTCCTCCTTAGTTAATTACCAAGTTAATTTATTACTTACATCTTAAACTTACCAGTACCAAGCGAGGCATATCCAACAAAGATCTTGGAAAAAGATAATCGTGTGATTACTGCCTCCGCAATTTCACATTGATATAACATGCCATATTTTAGAACTATTCACATATATTTGATGGTAACAAAATAGATTTTAGCGACATTTGAAATGTCATCCTTTTTTCTAGGATGGGAGCCTTCTTTTCACCCTGCCTCCCAGCATTCAATGTTCTTAAGTTGATTGGTCTTATGTACCTGAGAAGCTGGGCAGTGTTAACCTGTAATGTACCACATCAACAGGTTTTCAGAGCTTCAAGGTTAGTGAAAATAAAGACGGTATTCAGTTGTCAGCAGTAAAAATGTATTATCTATATCAGTGGGTCCCATTCTGTGGTACACAGACAACCTATCAGTGGTTTGCATTAACAGATTTATTATAATTACTTTAGATGACAAAAAATTGCTGGTGGTATTTAAGGCTGCATCATTTTAAATTGGTGGTGTACGGTCTGTCAGAGTTTGGGGACTGCTCATCTATACATAAATGGAATGAGAGCAGCTTTGAGTTCTCAAAATAGAAAGTAAAATTAGATATACTCAAATGACTCAAGCCTTCAGCAAATATCTGTAAAATATAGTTTCTGAAGAAAGGGAGATACAGCAGTATTGTAATAAAGAGAATGACAATATGAATGTGCATCACAGGGACGTAAAGGGGGAGAGTAGGATTTGAAGCTAGATGCACAATCTTTCACTTCTAGGTCACTGAGTCAAAGTCAACAGTAACATAAAGTTATGTTCAGATATCTGCACGTTTGTAACCAATATGGGGAATTTCAGCCTATTCTGTTCCCCACAGACAGATTTTCTACATTGCAACTAGCATCAATGTTGGCATTACATGAAACCCAAAGTGGATTGTACTCTTCAAGCTTATCAGGCTAGTAGGGCCGTGCAAAGCTTTGGTCCCTGATTTAATCTGGCAGAGATTCAGCCCAATTTGGTGAGCAAATCTCCAAATCTGAATCAAATCAGAGGACCCTTTAATCTTTCCAAATCCAATCAGAACCCTCCAAATTGATTTGGAGA